GAGAGAGAGAGAGGAGAGAGAGAGAGAGAAAAATACTGAACTCCTACAACTAAACAGTAAAAAAAAAAAAAAACTTAATTTTTTTTAAAAAAAGAGCAAAAGACTCAATTAGACATTTCTCAAAACACGGACAAATGGAGCTAGGGAGCTAGCTCAGTCAGAAAAGCACTTGCCATACAAGCGTGTCCACCTCAGTTCAATTCCAGCACCTACATAAAAGCAGGCACAGCAGCACACGCTTGTAATCCCAGAGTTGGAAAGGCAGAGAAAGGAGGATCCCTGGGCCTTGCTGGACAGTAGAAGTCTAGCTGAATCTGTGAACTCCAGATTGAGTGAGACACTGTCTCAAAACAGTAAGACAGGGAACACTAGAGAAGACCTAATTCAATCTTCTGGCATCAACAGGTACATGCAGACACACTCATGAAAACATAAATACACGATATATGTACACACAAATGACAAGTACGTATAGGAAAATAGTTTCTAATTCAGTAGTCATTATAGAAATGAAGATCAAAGCATAACTATTCCATACCTTCAAGGTAGCTTTTTTTGAAAACAGAATCTCACTATATATCCTTGGCTGGCCTTCAACTCACTACTTAGACCAGGCCGGCCTCAAAATCAGAGATTTGCCAGCCTCTGCCCTTCTCAGCTTAAAGGCATATACCACCATACCTAGCCTACAGTAGCTTTTGTTTAAAGTAAATGTTGGCAAGGATGGGGGGGGGGGGTTTATACAACCTATATTGCTAATGAGAATATAAAATGAAATGCAAAATAGTTTGCAGCTACTGAAAAAGCTGGACAGTGGTATGACTGTAGGTATTTATCTAAAAAAACTGGGAAAAGCCAGGTGGTGGTGGTGGTGGTGGTGGTGGTGGTGGTGGTGGTGGTGGTGGTGCATGCCTTTAATCCTAGCACTCAGGAGGCAGAGTCAGGTGGATTTCTGTGAGTTCGAGGCCAGTCTGGTCTACAGAGCGAGATCCCGGACAGGTTCCAAAGCTCCACAGAGAAACCCTGTCTGGAAACCACCCTCCCCCTCCAAAAAAAAAATTGGGAAAAGAGAAAGAAAGCAACTAGAATTTAGTAGAAACTGTATTTTGAATGTTGGTCCTATCTGGACAATATGTGATAGAAGACTATTATTACAAGGCAGACCAGCAACAAGCCTTAGTTCCCACCAGCCTCTTGACTGTAAGCTTCAACAATCAATATTCTAGAGCATGGAAAAGTAATTTATAATTCTATATATCCCTATATAGATATACACAACTTCTCATAAAATGGTGTATTTAAAAAAAAAAAGAAAAAGAAAAAGAAAAAGATTTACAGGTATCTTGTGAGAAACATTGCCAAGATGGGTGCTGGTAACGTCCCAATAAAAAATTAAGTTGAGCTGTGGTAATTTGAAAGAAAATGGCCCCCAAAGGCAGTAGCATGTGCCCCACCTCAGCCCCATCCCAAGAGACAGTGTTTCTCTATGCATAGCCCTGGCTGGCCTCGAACTCAGAGATCCACCTGCCTCTGCCTCCTGAGTGCATGTGCCACCACCTGGCTTTAGGAGGTGTGGCTTTGTTGGAGTAGGTGTGTCACTGTGGGGGCAGGCTTTGAGGTCTCATATATGTTCAAGCCACACACAGTGAGTGTCTCAGACCACTTCCTGTTGCCTGCAGAAGATGTAGAGCTCTCTTCTACCTCTCCAGCACTACGTCTGCCTGTACACCACCATGACCCACCATGATGACAACAGACTGAACCTCTCAACTGTAAATTAGCCCCAATTAAATGTTGTCATGGTATCTCTTCACAGTAATAGAAAACTAACTAAAACATGAAACCTTTAATGATAAATAATAAAATAACCACCAATATAGTGTTTTACTTACCCGTTTGGGGCCACTAAAAATCTTTCTGGTATTTTCCTTGGATTTATCTCCTTGTTTATTTATGGGCTTCTTCACACTCTCAGGCACACCAGGCAAGTCCTCTGTAAAATCCAAGTTTTCTGAAACGGTAATCAAAACTAGCCAGCTTTCTAATATTTCAAATTATCAGAAAACTAAGGCCATTTCTAAGCATAGTGTTGGGGATGGATGAATGAATGAATGACAAAAAGTAGTAATGGCTGAAAAAGCACTCTAACCCTCACCCTCTACTATAAAACCTGGCTGGTACACGTGTTCTACTTTTAATTTTGTTAACAGAAAAACCAAATATTTTCTCTTTTACTGAGAATGGGTCTATGCAGCTAGCCCAGGCTGGCCTGGAATTCATTAGATATCCCAAATTGGCTCCAAACTCATGGCAATCCCCCTGCTTCAGCCTCCCAAATACTAAAATTACAGATGCAACACCCATACCTGACTTAAATTTTTTTTCCAAAATTACAGATGCAACACCCATACCTGACTTAAATTTTTTTTCCAAAATAAAAATTGAACTTCATAGATCATATAACTGCCAGATATATACAGATGCTAGATATATAAAATTTACACAAATTCATATAAATATCAAATGATACCTAAGTTTCACATTTTCTAGATTTTAAGTTCATGAAATCATGTTGCATTAAAAGAATACTTGCTGGAAGCCAGTTAGGAAGAGCTGATGTAGCAGAGCCAGAATCCAAAGCCAGGTAGTCTGGTGTCAACACTATATGCTTCCAGTACCCACTGAATGCATTTGTGCTAGCCTGGGTATAGAGTGCTTTAATGTAAGATAAGTAGCTTTTGGTGTGGCTTTCAAAGGTCAGAGACATTGTTCAAGCTGTATAAGAGGCTGCTGGCTTCTACAAAGATAACCACTTAAAAAAAAATATTTAGCCAGTGGCAGTGGTACAAGCCTTTAATCCCAGCACTCGGGAGGCAGAGAAAGGCAAATCTCTGTGAGTTCAAGGCCAGCCTGGTCTACAGAGTCAAATCCAGGACAGGAACCCCTCTCCCCCCAAAAAAAACTACACAGAGAAACCCTGTTTCGAAAAACCAAAAAAAAAAAAAAAAAAAAAAAGTTTAGAATTATTTTACGCGTGAGTGTTTTGCCTATATGTATGCATGTGAACCACATGCCTGCCTGGGAACCTGAAGAAATGAAAAGGCATCAGATCCCCTAGAACTCAAGTTACCAATGGTCGTGAACAACAGTGCTGGGGAATTGAAACCAGGCCCTTTGCAAGAACAACAAACATGCTTAACTGTTGAGCCATCTCTCCAGCCCCATAAAGGACTAAATTTCAAAATGCAAAACCTCTGGGTGTGGTGGCAGAAGCCATAATCCCAGCACTTGGGAGGCCGAGTCAGGAGGAAAACAAAATAACAGGGTTTTTTTGGCTAGTACAATGCAGTTCAATGACTCATGAGCCTTCACATAAAACTACTGAAGGATTAAGTTACTTCCTAAATGGTTACAAACATTTTCTTTTAACACATAAGAAGAAAGGGAAGACCTTTCTCTACCTCAACTTTTAAAAATGATTACTGGTTCGCACATTATATCAAGACTCAATTGCAACTTGGTGTTTCTCATCCAAGTGGTCTCTAGTTTTCAAATGTTCAATGTCAACTTTATTTCTCAAAGTGAGTCTATTTTTCACATTTCAGAATTAAAGTTCTATTATTCCAAGATATAAAAACAGATTTGAAATCGCAGATGAGAATAATAACTTACTAGACAAATGAGACTAAAAGTCAAATACCCTGCAGCAGGACAAAAAAAAAAGTGCAGGTCCTGACAGCATTAGGTGCCAGATCTCAAGTCTAGTAAGGGCTGCTGCAAACTGCATCTCCCAGAAGAGGCTGATGATGACAACGGTGGATCAATGTTAACTATACTTTTTTAGGGGGTGAAGAAGCTCTAGAAGCTTCTGCTTTAATTCCAGTTTAAAACAGGAAGAATCATCAGGGCTGAGGGTGTAACAACTCAGTGGTAGAGCACCTCTCTCCTGTACAAATCACCCCCAACACCAGAAATAAATTCTAATCAAGCAAATATTTTTTAGGTCCAAAACAGCTAGGTAGCAGGTAGTATCAAGTATGATATACTCTATTTGAGAATCTAAATTCACAAATACAATGGAAATTCTAATTCACAATTACAAACTTCTACAATCTTAGCAGGACAAAAGCTTTTTTAAACAATTAAACCAATATAGAAAAGCTGTATTTGGCTGAAAAGACCCTTTATTCTAGTAGTTTTCACAAATTCTTCCTCACTTAACAGTGAATCCTCTACACATAGCCCTTGTTACGGCTAATTATAGCAGAGCTACCTATTTTATTTGTATCTATCTCTCACTAGAGATTCAATTCCTAGGAGAACCTTATCACTGGGCCTACAATCTTAAAAGACAAATTTTCATTATTAAAAGAGAATACTTACCTAGTACTTTTCAATCCTTTGTTTTGTTTTCCTCAGACAGGATTTCTTTGTGTAGCCCTGACTGACCTGGAACTCACTCTGTAGACCAGACTGGCCTTGAACTCACATATTCACCTGCCCAGCGTACTTTTCAATCTTATGAAACCATAATTTAAGAGGGTTTGAGAATGTTGCAAAAAAAAAAAAAAATTTTTTTTTTGTTTTGTGCTACTTACAAAGGGTTTAATTAATTTCTTTTGAGTATTTCCCTCATTAAGACCATCTGTTATCAGTACAGTACTAAATGTCCAAAATCTATCCTTATGTCTTCATTGCATTTGGATTTTCAAAGCTAAAACAAGATGTTTGGTATCTCTGTCTCAAAGACTGAATAGTTTAAAATTCTCACATAAATTCACAGATGCTAGCCTAGGGTTATATTTCAGTGGGAGAGCTTGCTTATTACGTGTGAGGCCCTGGTTTGGAATTCAACCCAAAACTAAAAATCTTAAATGCTAGTCACTGGTTTAAAACATGTAAGACTCCCAGTCTACCATAACTTAAGACCTAAAAATTTATATGTAAAATACTATACCTTTGCATAAGGTAATACATAGGTTCTAAATAGATGCTTCTACTAAAGTGTAATATAACAAAGTAAGGCTAGAGAGAAAGCTCAGTAGTTTAGAAAATTTGCTGCTCTCCCAAAGGATCAGAGTTCAGTTTTCAGCACCCATGTCAGACAGCTTACAACTCTAACTCCAGCTCTAGGGGACCTAATGCCTCTGGCTTCAGAAGGTAATTGTATTCACATGCATATACCCACATGCAGGCACACATACCTACATATAATTAAAATTATATATATATATATATATATATATATATATATAACTAAAACTAAGTATCTAGAAAAGAGTCTAGCCTTTGATTGAAGCCTGAAAAACAAATCATATATTAAATACATATTATTATATATACATCTTAAAATTCTTACCTGCACTATTAGTACTAGGCTGACTATCCTGGGAATTGTCATTGCTTTCAGGGGGAGGCTGCAGGGAAGGTGATGGAGCTGTTTTAGTTCTTTTTTTGTTTGTCTTTCTTTCCACTTGACAGTCATCATCATCATCTTCTTCACTTTCACTGAGGTCGTCAAAGCCAAAATATTTAATTTTGTAATTAGAACTTCCAGAACCCCCTTCATCACCTCCTGTCTCATCATGATCTTCAAAACCAAAAAATTCAAGTTTAACATCCTTTTTGGATTTAGTATTACTAGGTCGAAATCTAGTAGTGGTCTTGGAAGTTGCAATATCTGCCTTTTTCCTGAGCCGGCCAGCCTCTCCTAAATCTGCAGGAGTGGATGCCGTGAACTCATCCATACTCCGTTCCATTGTATCCTGGATGGTAACATTACAAACTGACAAGCAAGATGGATGTAAAACAGTGTAATCTCTAGTCCGTCCAACTGTTCCTCTAAAAGTGGTCCCACAACTTACACCACCTTTCTTTGCCTGATTCAGGCCATCTTTACTTGATTCACTGTTTGCTTTGGCTAAGGCCTGACTGGTGCCATCCATTAGCTTATCGAAATTTGATGCTCCCTGTGAGGATTTCGCTTTATTGGCCCTACAGTACGTCCTACAGTTGCTTGGCCTAAGAACACTTTGTATAATATCTTCTTCAATGGCTTCATTTAGATTTTCCAATCGGTTTTTTAAATTCTCATCCTTCATCTCCAAAAGAGAATCACTATTCAAATTCAGAATACAGTCTTCTGTTCTGATATCTTCAAAATCATTATCCCACTCATATAAACCAGTTCTTACAGGTCCTTTGCTTGGACAACTTTCAGAAGGAGACTCTGATCTTTTCCCAGACTGGGCATTCCAAGTATCATTTGTTTCCTTAATTTCGTCAGCTTTATATTCAGAATCCACTATGGTTTCTGTACTGTGTTTCTTAGTACTATCTTCAGCATTTTTATGGAAATGGTGACTATTTTTTTCATGTTCTTCACTAAAAATCTCCACTTTATCTATAAAAATGAAAAATATAACAGGTTAAAATCATTAATGTCATTAGTATGCAAATTAATGAACAGCAGGGCTCAGAACAGTAGTGCAGAACAATTTTGAAATAGCTGCAATAACCTCAAATCGTAAAAAAAAAAAAATGTTTACACATTTGACATTTGCTCTCCTACTCTGTATGTATAGCTGCATAACCTGTAACTTGTTCATGAACACCCAAGGCTCTTAAAACTGTCATGCTGAACTCAGAAGAAATTCTAGCATTATTAAGAAACTGAATCAAGTGAAGATGACATTAGATGCCATTTAAGCTTTCAAGTAACTATGCTTAAATTAGAAGGTATTTAGTAGAACTTACACTCATGTAACAACGAATGAAGGCCTTTCAGAGGCATTTGTACTTAGGGGCAATAGGGCTGTATATACAGTATATTAGTTTTGTCTAGAAACCTGCTTGCAGGAAGCTTCTCTAGTTCTTTCTGTAGTTCTTCTAATACTAAAAGCCACATAATATCATGTATTTTTGTTTTGTTTTGTTTTGTTTTTCGAGACAGGGTTTCTCTGTGTAGCTTTGCGCCTTTCCTGGAACTCACTTGGTAGCCCAGGCTGGCCTCAAACTCACAGAGATCCGCCTGGCTCTGCCTCCCGAGTGCTGGGATTAAAGGCGTGCGCCACCACTGCCCGGCTCATGTAATTTTTTAACATGGTTCTGTATCTATGTGGCTATAGTGCCTTTCTTTTTTTAAAATTTATTTATTTTATGAGTGCTCTATGTGCATATACGACTTTATGCCAGAAGAGGGCATCAGATCCCACTATAGATGACTGTGAGCCACCATGTGGTTACTAGGAATTGAACTCAGAACCTCTGGGAGAGCAGCCAGTGTTCTTAACCACTGAGCCATCTCTCCAGCCCTTAATATGACTATTTTATATGTAGGGAATTAATTTTTGTTGCCTTAAATTTTTATCATCAGAAAAATTTTTTTACCTTTCAAGTAAAAGATGGCAATATGATTCAAACTTGATTTGAATATGGTATGATTCGATTCATCATTCCCTGAGCATTTATTAATAGGTAAACACTGGTGAATATTTACTCTATGCCAAACAATAAAACTGCCTCAAGAAAAATCATCTACATTTAAGAAAAACTATTTACAAATCTTTTGTTTCAACAGGGTCTCACTATGCAGCTCTGGCTGTCTTGGAACTCATAATGTAGACCAGGCTGGCCTCAAACTCAAGAGATCCACCTGCCTCTGCCTCCCAAGTGCTGGGATTAAAGGCATGCACCAGGACACTCAGTTTATTTACAAATCTTAATAAACACACTTTCAAAAACAGTCAAAAGGAATGTTTTCCATGGATGAATTCACTATATAATTGATACTACTTAATGAGTTTAAATATAATTTAACTATCACAGGCCTAATCCCAGCAGAGTATTCCAAGCCTGGTAAATTTAAGACACTGGCTCAAAAATAAAAAGTAAAATGATAAAGTGTACTGATTTAACTCAGTGATAAGAGTACTTGCCTAACATGCATGAGGCCCTAAGTTCAATCGCCAACAAGATTTGTATTTGTTTACCTTTAGGAGACATCTAATAAATAAACAAGGTACTTATTTTTTACATACTTTTCTCACTAGGGGTAATGAACTATAGTTTTCTTAAGTGTCAGATATACCAATCAGTAATCCTTAAAAAAATAAATAAATAACAAACTAAAAACAAAAGGTGATATATAGCACTTTGGAAGGGTCGTTATAAGCAAAGTCAAGTATAAAAGTAAAGCTACTGTTTCTATAATGAAAAGAGCACTGGTAACTGAGTCTAGGAGTGTGACACCAAGGTGAAGCTGGTTCTATAGCTCTCCTGCAAGAGTCCTATCTTCTAGAGCTTTCCTGAGAGCTCCAACTTCCTCCTGTGTTCAACGGGAACCACGTGGCTTATCTACTTCAGCGTACCTAAATGAATTACTCAAATAAATGTTTCTGTTCAGTAAATCTCTAATATGCTCAAACTACATAAATGTCTATAAGATGTAACTAAGTTAAACTACCTCATTTTTACTGATTTGTGTATGTGTGGGTACACATGTGCCATGATGCAGTGAGCCATCTCTCCAGCCCTCATCATCTCATTTTTTTTTTCTGAGACAGGGTTTCTCTGTGTAGTTTTGTGCCTTTCCTGGAACTTGCTTTGTAGACCAGGCTGGCCTTGAACTCACAGAGATCTGCCTGCCTCTACCTCCCAGTGCTGGGATTAAAGGTGTGGTGCGCCACCACCGCCCAGGCCTCATCTCATTTTTGTTTTGTTTTGTTTTGTTTTGTTTTTTCGAGACAGGGTTTCTCTGTGTAGCTTTGCACCTTTCCTGGAACTCCCTTGGTAGCCCAGGCTGGCCTCGAACTCACAGATATCCGCCTGCCTCTGCCTCCCAAGTGCTGGGATTAACTCATCTCATTTTTATAGCTGTAGAGTATTCCACTATGGGGACTTTGTGGAGGTGGTTAATGGGTTGTATTATGTTTTGGTTTTGAGACAGGCTCTCACTATGTAGCACTGGCTGGCCTAGAACTTTCTGTGTAGATCAGATTAGGCTGGCCTCAAAATCAGAGATCCACCTGCCTTTGCTGAGATTAAAGGCATGTGTTATCACACTCAGCTTGTTTTTGTATTTTGAGAAAGGATCTCCTCCTTTGGAGCCCAAAATGGCCTCAAACTAGTGATCTTCCTGATTCATGTGCACAATACCTCACTTCTAATATCTTATCTCAAAAATGAAGATTTTCTATTTTAAGTGTAAACATCCTTTGACTTAAAGACAGATATGAAAATAAGCTTTTATTAGTTTTTAAAACATTACTATTTTATCATTTCTCCTATACTCCAGTGTATGAGCTGTGTTATGCATTTCAGAAGTTGCCTTTTATTTGACTTAAAGAGTATTGCTGCTAGCCTATCCTTGTAAACTTGTTAGAAGGAAGAGTGATAAGGAGTTCCGTAAGGAAGTTCTCAGTATTCAGTAAGGAAACAGTATTTAAGTATCAGTCAGTAGTAAACAATCCACACACTATAGCAAAAGCAACAATGAATTATTACTCTAGTACATGATTTTTAACTTCTAAAACATTACATAGTAGGCAAAAGCTAATTTAACTAACAGAGTTCTACAAAGGAAAACTGCCCAAGTTCTTGACAACAGTATTTTAGCATATAAAATGTGTCCTTTCATTTAACTTCCCAACAATAACAAAATCTTAACTTGCTTTTGAATGGTTATCACCATCTTATCCAAAACTACAGATTGCAACTACTTTTAACTGGCCTCCCACATCAAAACCAGCTTCCTAACAGATAAACCCATTTGTAAGGAATATCTATGTACCAAGTGTATGTGTGTGTGTTGGGGGGAGGGGGGGACGGACGGAATTGGACAACACAGAACAATGGCTAGTTGCTTTCTGTTTTGTTTTGTTTTTTATTCTTCTCTCATATAATACATCCCGACAGCAGTTTTCCCTCCATTCCTCCCACCTCCCCTCTCCCCTAGAAAAGAGAGGGCCTCCCAAGAACATCAACTGAACATGGCACAACAAGACACAATAAGACCAGGCACAAACCCTCACATCAAGACTAGGTGAGGCAACTCAGTGGGAGGAAAAGGGTCCCAAAAGCAGGCAAGAGAGTCAGAGACACCCCAATCCCACTGTCAGGATTCCCCCCAAAAACACCAAAGTAACAGCCGTAATACATATGCAGAGGACATAGCACTGACACATGCAGGTTCTGCAATTGCTGCTCAAGTCTCTGTGAACCCCCAGGAACCCTGCTTAGTTCATTCCGTGGGCTGTGCTCTCCCAGTGTCCTCGACCCATCTGGCTCCCACAATTATTCCTCCTCCACCCTCTTCTATGGGTTCCCTGAGCTCCAAGGGAGGGACCTGATGGAGACCACAACTTGGGTTCTCTGTCTGGAAAACTAACTACTTTTGTATGTTGACTTGATACAAGTTATAGTCATCTGAAAGGAAGAAACCTCGATTGAGAAAATACCTCCCTAAGACTGGGCTGTAAGCAAGCCTATAGAACACTTTTTAATTAGTGGCTGATATGGGAGGGCCCAGCCATTTTTGAGTGGGGACACCCCGGGGCTGGTGATTCTGGGTTCTATAAGAAAGCAGGCTGAGCAAGTCAGTAAGAAGCATCATTCCATGGCCTCTACCTCCAGGTTCCTGCCCTGACTTCCTGATAGACTAAGATGTGAAAGTGTAATCGAAGTAACTCCTTTCCTTCCAAAGTTGTTTATAGTCATAGTGTTTCAACATAGCAATGAAAACCCTAACTAAAACAAGCAAGATCTGCCCACTAGTAAAGCTAGCACCCTAGAGACTGAAGCTGGAAGATCAAAAGTTGTATCTTTTTTTTTTTTTTTTTTTTGGAGTTGAGGATCGAACGGAGGGCCTTGCTGAGCTAAATCCCCAACCCAGAAGATCAAAAGTTTGAGGCCAGTCTGAACTACAAAGTCAGACCCTCTCTCTGCCAAAGGAGACAAAAGGAGGCAGGGGGGGACACAGAGAGAAGATAGTGAGAACAAAATAAAAGATGAATTTTCACAGAAAGGCAAGGTATTACTGTTTTATAAACTGTTCATTTAAATAAAAATTATCTCTAACAAAGACAACAGGTTAGGGACTTGAGTTCCAGCTCTGTTACTCTGTTACTTATTGGATAGATGATGCCTTTAAGCAAGTCACCTTAAGGATAGTTTCTCCTAAGAAAATGAACTAATAAAATCTGCCTCAAAATCAGGATAAATGTGTAACATATATATATATATTTCTTTTTTGGTTTTTGAAGAAGGGTCTCACTACGTAGCTATGGCTGTCCTGGAATTCACTATGTAGACCAGGCTGGCCTCAAACTCAAAGATCTGCCAGCCTCTGACACCCAAGTGCTGGGGTTAAAGGTGTATACCACCACCACTCAGCAAGATTAATAT